TTTTTTTTTTTTTTTTTTTAGTTTATTCATCTTTGAGAGAGAGAGAGAGAGCATAAGCGGGGAAGGGGAAGAGAGAGGGAAACACAGAATCCAAAGCAGGCTCCAGGCTCTGAGCTGTCAGCACAGAGCCTGATGTGGGGCTCGAACCCACAAACTGCAAGATCATGACCTGAGCCGAAGTCAGACACTCAACCGACTGAGCCACCCAGGCGCCCCTAGCTCGTCTTAACTATAGCAATGGAGACAATGATGTTGCTATGTATTTTTCTTTGTAGAAACCTAAACTTTGAAAAACTTATTGCAAATTGAAATTTTATAAATTGATTGCTTCTGCTTTCCATATGAATGTCTGTCTGCATAAGCCTCTCATTTTTGTTCTGTCTTATTTTCCCTCTGCTTTTGAAGACATGAAGTAATCAACATTAACCTGAGAAACAAGCCTGAATGGTACTATACAAAGCACCCTTTTGGCCAAATTCCTGTCCTGGAGAACAGCAAATGTCAGTTGATCTATGAATCTGTCATCGCCTGTGAGTACCTGGATGATGCTTATCCTGGAAGGAAGCTGTATCCATATGACCCTTATGAGCGGGCTCGCCAGAAGATGTTATTGGAGCTATTCTATAAGGTATATCCAAAATTTTAAAAAGCCACTTACAGTCTATTATACTTTGTATGTCTTTCCCAAACCTCAGTTCATTTTTAAAGCTAAATCATTGATGAGGTTGTTTTGTGTTAATACTACGTGCATCTTAGAAGGAAAACTAGTATGGAGTAATAGTAGGGCTCTCACCTCTAAAATTAAAGATGAAAGGCTTAACTGATAGGTTCTTTTCCATTTCAACTAGGAGACTCAAGAGGTATGGTTACGGTGTGGTCATGACCATGTGCCTCAAGGTGGGAAGGTTGAAAGAGCTGAAAACTGGTAGCGCTTTAAGGGGAATATTTCTAAGGTTTCAGGTAAAAAAAAATTCGGGTGTTAAGAAGGTAATGCATGAAGGGGGACTGGACTTTATGCAGAGCAACAGTGCCAACTACCCAGGAAACATGAAGAAGAGAGAACAGGGGATACCTGTTGATAATATAAGAAAAAATGGAGTTTAATGATAGTTCTCTTTGAAAAGAAATAAAAGGAACTCAAGAACATTAATGGCTGACCTATCTTGAGCATTTATGCTGTGCCAAGCATGGCCCTACCTGCGTTATAAAGGTCAACTCGCTTAACGCTCCCAACAGCCCTGCAAGGCGGGCACTGTTATTGTATCCATTCTTCAGATGACAACACTGAGGCTTAGAGAGGTTAAGTGCCCCACCGCAGATTGAACAACGAAGAAGTAGCTGAGCGAGTAAGGAGCACTAGAGACCCCCTTTAAAGCGCCTTGTTCTGCCAGGGTGCTGTGACAGTGGATTCCTGGAACCCAGAGATGGCATGACCCTCCCAGGAGGTGGGGAACCTGGATGTGCGTGTTGTCCTGTTCAGTTGGGAGTGATAAAGCTTTGGCTGTGTTTTCAGGCAGAACAGGAGCACAGAGTTTCCTTAGACTTCTCCACTAAGAACCTGTGTTCTCTGATTAGGTCCCACATTTGACCAAGGAGTGTCTGGTGGCCATAAGATGTGGGAGAGAATGTGCTGATCTGAAGCTAGCCCTGCGTCAGGAATTCTGCAACCTTGAAGAGGTACAAAAGGGGGCCCCTCTCCTGGTCAGATTCAGTGGAAGAGGTGATACAGGGTCCTGAGCCTGACCCCTTGCTTTCACAGACTTATTCTTTCTGCCAGAAGTTGATAAGTTCAGGTGCCAGTCATCTGGTTTTAACTTGTGGGTGCTTGCTCCCCACTAACCTGTTATGGAACTATTCTTGAAAATCTGGCAAGGAAGGGGGAAGGACACGTGATGAGTTTCTTCCTTTCCCCAACTCACCACATTCTTTACTGCTGCATGGCTTCTGTACTTTCTGCCAATGAGGCTAAGATTTATATTCGTTAGGGATTTTGTTTGGCTGCTAGCAAAAGGGACCTTACCACTGTAAACTTATTTTATAACAGTTTGCTCTCTCACATAAAAAGTCAGAGGTAGTGCAGTTCAGGGCTATTTTGATGGCTTCTTTATAAAGTTATTAGGGACTGAGGCTCTCTTTCCATCTGCTTGTCATCTTCAGTGCAGGTCTTTCATCCTCAAAATGACAAGATAGCTGCTGGAACTGCAGCCATCATTTCTAAGTTCCAGGCTGAGGAAAGGAGAACAAGGGGGGAAAAATGGTGAAAGGCCATGCCCCTTTAAAAGGCTTTCCCAGAATCCCTACTCAATGATTCCTTAAATCTCATTGGCCGCAACTTAGTTGTTGTGTGAGAACTATGTGCAGAGCCAGCTGGGAAATGTAGTCTTTTAGCTGGGGACACCTTGAATAAATCAGGGTTCTGTAATCAAGAAAGAGGGGAGAGTGGCTATGGGTAGGAAAGGAGCAATCTCTGCCAGCAGATCGTTCCCTAACCTGGCAGTAATACAGCTACTTACCCCTTACCTCTAGAATGATCTGAAAGGTGGTTCTATGACTTCCTTTAAATTTGTTCTAGAATCTGATATGTTCCCTTTATGGGGCTGGGAGTTGTAACTCTGTTGGCAGCTAGAGAATGCTATTTTTATCTCCTTCAGGGAAGGCTGATTATTAATTCTCTTTCATTTGACCTTTGTCAAGTGGAAGTAGATTACATTTATTTACATTTCCAGCTACCTATCTTAGATTTGTACAATTGCAGTATTTATGGATGGTGAATAATTATCTATAAGAAAGGACTCTGAAAGAAGAAGAAGCTCTGATTTATAGCATTTTCTATTTTTTTTTTTTTTTCAAACGTTTATTTATTTTTGGGACAGAGAACAGAGTATGGCGACATTGAGGGGAGGGCAGAAAGAGAGGAGACACAGAATGGAAGCAGGCTCCAGGCTCTGAGCCAATATTATTAGGAAACACAACCCAGCGGGGCTCAAACTCACACCGGACAGCCATTGACACACAGCTGAGAAGTGGGGCCTTAACCCGGCCTTCATACCAAGCTATTTTTAAATGTTTATTTATTTTTGAGACAATGCGAGAGACAGAGTGCAAGCAGCGGAGGGGCAGACAGAGGGGGCGGAAGGAATGAGGCGGGCTCCAGGCTCTGAGCTGTCAGCCCAGAGCCCGACAGGGAGGGAGGCACAGAACTCCTGCAGAACTGTGAGACCTTGAGCCTGAGCAGAGGTGGGGCACCATTGAGCCACTCAGGCCCCCCTGATTTATAGCATTTTCTGATTTCGGTGCTGTAAATACTCCCACCAAATGCTGATTTGACCTACCAATGTTGTGTGCCCAGGGTTGAAAAGAGATGTGATTGGTGATTGGTCAGCTCCGGCACAACACTGAATAACACATTTCCTCTTTATCTTCAGTAGCTGAGTCCTAGAAATAATTTGTTAAACTAGCTGAGGTAGGTATATACCAAAATACTGATGGTATTTAAGGACCACTGAATATTCAGGATTGTTCTAGCAGACTTGAATATGGTTTTTGTCCCATTATTAGCAAGACTTATAAATACAATGTAGGCAATATCAGAATCTGAAACATGCCCAGTTAGCTTGATCCACTCTTAATACCAGTATATTGACTCTAGGAGATTCTACTGAGATAGAAACTTGTCAGAATAATTTTGATAGCGAATGTTCCCTGACTTGTGCAACTCTTTTGCATGGTTTTATATAATCAGGATTTTGTGTGAGCTGAAAGTACATTAAATATACATGGTCTTTCTGAGTGATAAGTAAGGCAAGATACCGATACATAATCTTCTGCTCAGTTTACTGCTTGCAGCCTTAAACTGTGACAGTTTCTCTTTTTCAAGTAATGCCCTGATTTTTAAATTTGTTCTTAAAAAAGTTTCATCAAAATTAAAGATTCATTGTGCTTGTTATTTAGCCGCATTTTTCTGCAATATGTTTACAATTCTTTGAGATACATTATTGCTGCTTTCATTATCAAACTGGCAGAGTCCCCACTTGCTTTCCTGTTCCAAACATTTGCATGAGCTTTAAAATGACAGGGATGCCCTTCCCTAATCACACTTTCTGTTGTCAAACCGATTTTCTAGCCTCTGCTGAATCAATCTCAGTGGCACACGTCTTTTTAGCTTTATTCTTTTTTTAATGTTTGTGCTTGACTTCGCCGTGTCAGAATAGCACTTGAGCCCACTTTCGTTTTATCTTTGTGGATTTGAATGTGGCAGAACTTTCAGAGGTTCCTTTTTTTGGGGGGGCGGGGCTAGTGCCTTCATTCTAAATATTTTCATTGTGGAAGCAGTCAGCCCAAAGGCAGTGAAAGACAGGATTCGGCCAGATTTCTCTGATGCTGCGGAATTTTGCTCTGATTCAGCGTTTCTGTGTTATGAATTCTGTATTCTGGCTGTTGCTTGGTTTCTTGCCAATCATCATGGAACTCAATAAAAGGGAATGAGAAGGGTAGTAACAGATAACTCTGGAAAATACAATCTGCCTAGGAGGGAATGACAACCTGCCTAGTAACTTGTTGTTTTTATGTTGTTTTTAATTCTTTTTTTTTTTTTTTATTAATAAATGTTTATTTTTGAGAGGGAGAGGGAGAGAGAAAGAGCAGGGAAGGGGCAGAGAGAGAGGGGGACAGAGAGGGTCTGAAGCCGGCTCTGCACTGACAGCAGCTAGCCTGATGCGGGGCTCCAACTCACAAACCTGGAGATCAAGACCAGAGCCAAAGTCAGACACTCAGCTGACTGAGCCACCCAGGCGCCCATGTTTTTAATTCTTGGTATTCCCCAACCTGCCTTGTGATGTCTCCACGCAAAGCTTCCCATGTCGCCAAATTTGGTTACATGTCTTGTGTTTTTAGTGAGGTCAGATTTGTATAAGCTGTATTGACATCACCCAGGAACATCTCTAGTTAAGTATTTTTGTGATTCCAAATTTCTCCCCTAATGTTAATTTTTTTTAAAATTTTTTTAACGTTTATTTATTTTTGAGGCAGAGAGAGACAGAGCATGAACAGGGGAGGGGCAAAGAGAGAGAGAGGGAGACACAGAATCTGAAACGGGCTCCAGGCTCCGAGCTGTCAGCACAGAGCCCGACACGGGGCTCGAACTCACGGACCCTGAGATCGTGACCTGAGCCGAAGTCGGACGCTTAACCGACTGAGCCACCCAGGCGCCCCTACCCTAACGTTAATTTTTGATCTGTCCTTTCTCCTCTCCAGAAAGAATACATTTGCGCCCAATTAGATTATATTTTCTTGGTTAAGTTTTGCTATTTTTCCTTAATTTTTATTAATTTCAATAATGAAATTATATGTTGCTTATTTATTTATCCTTTGATGTCAGCAGGACATGAAGGAAAGAAAGTTTGTATCTGGCTAATTGTTCACTGAAAATAATTTTCTATAGCCTTTTGTGTATGGCAAACTATAACCTAAATTTATTTTGTTATCAACAATTTAACATGTCTACAAACTAAATTAGTTGTTACTAGCTATGTTTTTATAACAGCTTTACTGAGATATAATTCACATACTATAAATTCACCCTTTTCAAGTGTACAGTTCCGTGGCTTTTAGAATATTTACAGAGTTGTGCAACCATCACTGCTAGTTATTCTACAACATTTCATCATCTCAAAAAGGGAACTCCTTAGTCATTAGTATTAGCTTCCCATTTCTTCAAAACCTTCCCAGCTATCAGCACCCACTAATTCACTTGTCTTTGTGGATTTACCTGTTCTGGACATTTCATAGAAGTGGAAACATAGAATGTTAGCCTTTCATGAGCTTCTTTTACTTAACATAATGTTTTCAAGGTTCATCTTTTATTTTTTTTTTTATGGCTTAAAAGTATTGCATTATACGGAGATACCATATTTTGCATATCCATCAGTTAATGGACAGGTGGGTTGTTTCCCCTTTCTGGCTATGACAAATAATGCTGCTGTGAGCATTTATGCATGCGTTTTTGTGTTGGATGTATGTTATCAGTTCTCTTGGGTTTGCTAACTGATTTAGCATGTCTACTAATGTGCCATTAATTTCAGTTGTAATCACCATCCTTCCACACTAGGAAACTGATTATCCTCTATTCACAATGGCTAATTGAGTGTTTTTTGTGCTGTTGCTACTTTGGTAACTTTATTCACTGTCCAGTTCTGACAGCTGCTTTCCATGTAAATGAATATTTGCTATATTTCTGTTAATAGCCTTCTGCTATACCATCTACCACCATGTAAATAATAGAATAATAATTATTCTCATCATGTAGAAATTAATTTTACTTTTCTCCAATTATAAATTAGTATTTGTTTATTAGAGAATTTGGAAAATATAGAAACTAAGAAAAAAAAATCCATAAGCCCATTACCCAGAAACAACTATTGGTATTATTTTGGACTTTTTTTGTTTTCCTTTTCTGCTATGTAGTTGAAATTGTACTGTATATAGAACTCGGTTATCGTTATGATGTAAAGATTTTCCCATATTTTTATAAACTCTAGAATGCTTGTTTATATGTATAAGAGCATTTTTATTTTTATTTTTTTTATTTTTTATTTTTTTTAATTTATTTTTGGGACAGAGAGAGACAGAGCATGAACGGGGGAGGGGCAGAGAGAGAGGGAGACACAGAATCGGAAACA